AAAAAAAAAAAAAAAAAAGAATAAGGAATCATGATGATACAAAAATTAAAAAACAATAACATAAACCTGGTTCTAATTCTTTGAAAGAAAGTTTAGAAATTCAGTGCATTGTGGAAATATATTTCTCATCAGATGACATTTTAAAATGAATCATCATGGCTTAAATCATTCTATTTAAAAGCAGTTTATTTTTTATTTTTTGAGATTAGACTACTTCTAGCATGCTCCTTTTGCATCATAAAAGAGGATTGTCATTTCAGTCAGTATTTGTCATAATAAATATATATAAAATGACATCACCTCTAGGATAATGTCGGGAATATGAAGCCAATACACAAATACATATGCCAATTGCAAGATTGCATGTATCTTTTTAAACATACCTGCCCGACAAGTTCTTTTAGTTCCTCGGTTTTAAATATAATAATACCTGCTTAGCAGGTAGCTTAATCTCTCATGACAGTAGAGTTAAGTAGGTCTCAGGGTAGAGTCAGGAAAAGAGATGAGTAGTGAATGTAATTATTGCTCTTGGAGTTGCTGTTATTATTTATTGTCTGCTTATTTCCTCTCTATCTTGACTGCCCCAGTTCTTGAGTCAGTGACTATCTAGCCCCCATATCTATAAAGTCACAATCCCAATAACCTGCCTTTCTCTTTCACTTTATAGATATGGGACCCACTCACATGGACTTTTTAAGAAGTTGGGAATTCCTGGGCCAACACCTCTTCCTTTCCTGGGTACTGTTTTGGGTTACCGTAAGGTAAGTTTTTTGAACTCCCTCTTTTGCTTCTTAGGGCTGCAGACACCAGCTTAGTTCCATCAGTAAAAAAAAGCCCCTCCTTGGGAGGAAGTCCTGATGTTTTATACTTTCAGAAACAGAGTGTAGGCCCCACACATAGCATGGTCAGGTTTACCCAAGGCCTCTGTTGCCAATTCTCAGGAACCTCAGGTTTGCCTCCGGATCCCTAAGGATAGGCCTACCCAGGTTGCCAGTTCCCACACACAGCATCTGGGAACCTAAGGATTGACATGCCTTGCCCAACACTGCTGTGTCTGTGCACTGCTCCCAGGGTCTGAATATGAGCCTGCCCACACTGCTGCTGGCACCTTCACCCTTCTATCCATGCCCCCTGTGGACCTGGGGACCCACCACTGCCATCACTGGCACCTGCCTGTGCTGCCTGGGGGCCCAAGGGTTGGCCTGCAGCTGCTCTCATTGCCAGTGCCACACACATCATCAATTGGCCCAAAGACCAACCTACTTTCCTGGCCCACTTCTGCTACTGCCAGTACCCAAGCCAGCTGTATAAAGGCTCAAGGATCAGCTTTCCTGGACCTGCTACTACCAAAATACTGCATATTCCACCCAGAAATCCAAGGATTAGCTCATTCAGTCACCTGCTGTTACCACTGGATCCCAGGTACCAGCCTGCCTAGCATCCCTGCCTCCACCAATGCCTCATCATAGCCTCCACTAACAACTGCAACCTGAGCCACTGAGGAAGTCACAAACACTATTGGCACTGATTACAACCAAAGGAGTCATATGCCCATACACTGGTGCCCACATCCAGAATCAAAGCTAATGCACCCTATGAATTAACACTATAAATACATCTATAGGAAGTAGTCTCTCCCTATGAAAGCTAATCCATAAAACTGGAAGAAGCAATTATTACATCAAATGCACAGATATCAACATAAGGACACAGCAATATGAGAAAGCAAGAAAATATGACACTTCCGGCTCGGCGCCTGTGGCTCAAGTGGCTAAGGCGCAAGCCACATACACCTAAGGTGGCGGGTTTGAATCCAGCCTAGGCCCGCCAAACAACAATGATGGCTGCAACCAAAAAATAGCCGGGCGTTGTGGCGGGCCCCATGGTCCCAGCTACTTGGGAAGCTAAGGCAGGAGACTCACTTGAGCCTAGGAGTTGGAGGTTGCTGTGAGCTGTGATGCCAGGGCACTCTACCCAGGGGGACAGCTTGAGGCTCTGTCTCAAAAAAAAAAAAAAAGAAAATATGACACTTCCAAAGGAACATAATAATTCTTCTGGTAACAGATTCTAATAAAAAAGAAATCCATGGAATTCCTGCAAAAGAATTTTAAATAATGATATTAAAGAACTTCAGTGAGATACAAGAGAAGAGATATGATAAAAGAAATCAGTAAAACAATTCATCAGCTCGGCACCTTAGGCTCAGCAACTAGGGTGCCAGCCACATACACCAGAGCTGGCAGGTTCAAACCCAGACCAGGCCTGCCAAACAACAATGACAACTACAACCAAAAAATAGCCAGGCATTGTGGTGGGCGCCTGTAGTCCCAGCTACTTAGAAGGCTGAGGCAAGAGAATCACTTAATCCCAAGAGTTTGAGGTTGCTTTAAGCTGTAATGTCACAGCACTCTACCAAGGGCAACGTAGTGAGATTCTTTCAAAGAAAGAAAGAAAGAAAGAAGGAAAGAAAGAAAGAAAGAAAGAAAGAAGGAAGGAAGGAAGGAAGGAAGGAAGGAAGGAAGGAAGGAAAGAAAGTTAGTTCATGATCTGAATGAGAAATTCAACAAAGAGATAGCATTAAAAGAAAAAAAACACAAATCCTGGCAGTGAAGAATATAATAAATATTTAAAAAACTAAGAAGGCTTCAACAATAATCTGTCTCAAGCAGGAGAAAGAATAGGTAGATCATTGGAACCTGAAGATAGATCATTGGAAATAACCCAATCAGACAAAAAAGAAAAAAATGTAGGAAGAATAAAGAAAGCCTATAATAAAATATTAGAATTTTGGATATTTCAGGAGAAAAGAGGGGCAAAGGCATAGAAAATCTTTTTTCTTTTTTTTGAGACAGAGTCTCACTCTGCCACACAGGATAAAGCGTTGTGATGTCACAGCTCACAGCAACCTCAAACTCCTAGGCTCTTGCCTTAGCCTCATGAGTTGCTAGACTGCAGACATGCACCATCACTCCCAGATATTTTTCTCTTTTTACTAGAGACAAGGTCTCACTCTAGCTTAGTCTGGTCTCAAACTCCTGAGCTCAAGAAATCCACCTCCCTTGGCCTCCCAGAGTGTGTGAGCCACCACACCCAGCCCTACAAAACCTATTTAATGAAATAATAGTTGAAAACTTCCTAAGTCTTTCAAGAGATACACACATGCAGAGATTTCCATATAGATTGAATTCAAAAAGATTTTCTGCAAGGCACATTAGAGTCAAATTATCAAAAGTCAAAAACAAAAAGAGAATTCTAGGCTCAGTACCTGTGGCTCAAGCAGCTAGGGGGCCAGCCTCATACACTCAAGCTGGTAGATTCAAATCCAGCCTGGGCCTACCAAACAACAGTGATGGCTGCAACCAAAAATGGCCAACCGTTGTGGCAGGTGCCTGTGGTCCCAGCCACTTGGGAGGCAGAGGCAGGAAAATCTCTTGAGATCAGGAGTTGGAGGTTGCTGTGAGCTGTGATGCCATGGCACTCTACCCAGGGCAACAGCTTGAGGCTCTGTCTAAAAAAAAAGGAGGGGGGCGTGGCACCTGTGGCTCAAAGGAGTAGGGCACAGGCCCCATATACCAGAGGTGGCAGGTTCAAACCCAGCCCTGGCCAAAAAATAAAAAAAGAAACTGCAAAAAAAAAGAGAGACAGAGAGAATTCTAAAAACAGCAAGAGAAAAGCATCAGGTCACATATAAGGGAATTCTTCTCAGACTAATAGTGTATTTCTCAGCAGGAACCTTATAGGCCAAGAGAATGGATAATATATTCCAAGTATTCAATGAAAAAAAACTATCAATAAAGACTATTATACCCAGAAAAGCTATTCTTCAAAAGTGAAGGAAAAATAAAGTAATTCTCAGACAAGCAAAAACTGAGGGAATTCACTGATACTAGACAGACCCTACAAGAAAAGGAGTCCTAATCTGGAAGTGACTGAACATTTTCTACCATTATTAATACACATGAAAGTATAAAACTCACCAGTAGAGCAGACGCACAAAAGAGAAAAGACTCAAATGTTACCACTATAGAATAGCTCCAAACCTCAGTGATAAACAATAAGAGGAAAATAAAGGGAAGAAAGGGATATACAAACAAGAAAAGGTACAGTTACAAAGAACAAGTCCTCAGCTACTACTAAAAATCTTGAATGTAAAGAGATTGTTTTCCCCCTTTTTAAAAATATAGAAGGCCAGGTACTGTGGCTCATGCTTGTAACCCCAGCACTTGGGGAGGCAAGGTGGCCTCCACTTGAGGCCAGGAGCTTGAGGCCAGCCTGGGCAACATAGTGAGACCCATCTCCATAAAAAATAAGAAAAATAATCTAGGCATGGTGGTATGCACTTGTAGTCCTAGCTACTTGGGAGGCTGAGGCAAAGGATTGCTTGACCCCAGGAGTTTTAGGTTGCTGTGCACTCTAGCCTGGGTGACAGAGCAAGGCCCTGTGAGAAATAAAAGAACAGAAAAGAAAAGAGAAAGAAAGAAAGGAAGACACTTCACTTACAGACTGTGATACTATGAAATATATATTCAATGTACATTCCCATTTCCTGACATACAACTCCTAAAATCCTTGGAATCTCCAAAGTGCTATCCCTCAGTATGATAATGTTGGCTGATAGTTTCAGGATGGGGCTGGTCACTTTAAAGACAAAGCATGATTAGAGGGTTCAGACTTTCAGCCCTACCACCCAATTTCTGGGGAAAGAGGAGGGGGTGAAGATCAAGTTGGTCACCAATGGCCAATGGTTTAATAAATAATGCCTACATGATAAATCCTCCATTTAAAAAAAGGACAAAATTCAGAGAGCTTCCAAGTAGCTGAACATGTGGAAGTTCCTGGAGGGTGCCTGCCAAGGGAGGGCATGGAAGCTCCACATCCCTTCCCTCATATCTTGCCCTTGGGTATATTTTCATCTGTATCCTTTATAATATCTTTTTTAATAAGCCACAAAGTGTAACTGTTTCCCTGAGTTCTGTGAGCTGCTCCAACAAATTAATGGAACTCAAAGTGAAGGTCATAAGAATCCCATCTTGAAGCTGTTCAGTCAGCAGTTTCAAAGACTCAGACTTGCCCCTGGTGTCTGAAATGAGTGTGTGTCAGTCTTGGAGACTGAGCCCTCAACATGTGGGATCTGATGCTATCTCCAGGTAGGCAGTGCTGGAATTGAATTGGAGGGCAGCTGGTATCTGCTGCAAAACTGATTGCTTACATGGTGCATAGAAAAAATCCTCCATATATTTAGTCACAGAAATCTGTGATGATTGTTGTTATATGAAAACAGAAGAAAAATGATTCAAGATTTTTCTCAAACATGGATTGGAAGTAAAGGTATGCAAAAAGATATTCCACACAAATGGAAACCAAAAGTGAGTAGGAATAACTATACTAATATAAAATAAAACAGACTTTAAGTCAAAAA